TATTATCAGGAGCCTATAATCTCTACAACAGTGCAGGCACATTAGAACTCTTGTGCACACATGGTCAGAGTTAAAATTGATACGGCAGCATGTCTTATCCTGTTAGGCATGCAGTTTAAGTGATCACTGCACTAAGGTCGGATAGGTTCTCTTCTTCGGGTACATAGTTGTATAATTATACCCTGCATGAACCTCGCCAGTTAAGAAGAATAAAGGGCACTTTTAAACTCTGACCTTTGGGGTCCTGCCACTTTAAAAGGTTAAATGTCAGAATGAGGTCCTGCTGACATCAAAGAACAATGTAACTACAGTATGACTGGTAAAGCTGGACTGAGCGGTACTGACAGAAAAGAAACAAAAGATTAGAACCTTGTAAAGTAGGGTCATTGGTTCTCTCAGAGAAGGTTAATAAAAGAGACTGTGTGAAAGGGACGTGTACTTAGATATAGTCATCTGACAGGAAGTGCACAGGGGAAGTCCCCAATAGGCTAACCACAGATTTGAAGAAATGGAAGTAAAAGAACCTACTGCAACATCTGTACATGTATATAGTATATCATATGATGTTGTTTAAGTGGTGTGTGAAGTCTAGTCAGGGTCCTCTGAGGAGAATGAATCTTAAGTGTTAATTCCTCACTTGGATTAGTGAAAAATCTGCATCAATGGAGCAGACAAAGGCTAGTCTCTTCCTCTACTACTGTACTACAACTCCAGTAAAGCAACTGATGCAACGTTACTTCTGTGAGGCTATATCATCAGCTCTGCAGCAGAGTGGCCCTAGCGTAAGAGCTTTGTTTGAGACTGTGACAGATTAAAGAGGCCACTGTGATGTCTCTGACCAGGCAAGCCCATTAATAAATAATGGCGAGCCACACATCAAGCCTCTTGAGATGTCTGGTGCTTCACCATCAAGCCACCCTCACAGCATGGTACAGCTGCTGCATTATTAATGAGAGGAGAGCAGGAGGTGTCCAGCTGGGACCAGAGCCTGCGTTTGGAACACCCGAACCCGTTACACCTGTCATGTTGAGGGACTAAAGTGTCTGTGTGATCTCGCTGACAGCCTGAATCCCCAAAGGTCTGTCTCTCTGGTTGCACTGGTTTCAACCTCACTTAGCAGCAGCCTGTCATTGTGTAATCTGTGGACAGCAGATGTTCTAAGAGCACCTGGACTTATAAGGCTACTGCTTTTGTGGACTTACAAGAGGTTTCTGTTGGGTCACGTAAAGGACAGAGCAAAAGTACAACTAGAAGTACAAAAATGAAACTTAAAGTATCCGAAGTTTTCCTGTATAAAGGTAGTTTTTTTTTTTTATATCTCCACAATGTGGACCTCAAACACATGATTTGATGTGTTTCCTTTACACTTTTATACACGGAAGCACCTGCACAAAGTCACTTGAACTTTGAAATCACTTGTTTGATGCTCTCTTCTCACAAACTTTCAAATGTAACGCTAGAGAGACGGGCATGCACAATGCTCCAGTCAGAGTTGTACACATCCAGTCAAAAAGATTTCTCAAAGTCACATCTATGATTGAAGGAGGAAGTCACACAGCCCTGCCTGCACTGTTGCAGAGATCTTCCTGGAGCAATACTCAATTGATCAGGTTTTAGAAAGATCACACTGCAATGTGACAGAAAATGTCTCATTTTGGAGATAAAAGCTTTGCAGACAGTTACCATTTTTTTTTGGTCTGATAGTTGACGACATTGAAATAAAACCGCTTTAATGATTGTTACTAATGATTGAAATTTGACTATTGCACATCGAATCGAGACAGCGGTGTTTGAATCTTTACCTCAAAGAGTGTACCTCAATGTCGTTGATGAGCCGTGGCCCATTTTCACAGCAGTCAGTATTATCTGCAGTGCATTCATTGCTCATTTCATCTCCCACTCAGGGCAGGATGTGGTTGTGTACACACATCACTTTCAAAATAACTTCAACAGCCTAGTCTCTCCTTTTATAGTAAAGGCCTTGCTCATTGTGCTAGGGGCCAATGTAAGGGACGCTGAGTGGATATACTGTATATGTGTGCCCTGCGTAGGGGCCACTAATTTCCTTTTAAAAATAGCATAGAGGGGGGGTAACTGGGGTTACTGAAGTCTGATAATCCCAGGCTCAGCTGCATTATCAAATTAGAACTCTATCGACTCGTGTCGGCAGGCTTGGAGCCGGGTTAAGTGTGTGGACAGCACTGGCCTGAGTGAATGCCAGGAAGTCGGGAGGCACACTTCCTGAAAGTTAGCAATGCCTCAACAAAGTGCTGCACCACTTGAAGCCAGTTTTAAATCATAAGGAGACAACAAGATCGGGTCTAAATCCAACACATACCCTAAGAAAGATACAACTTTAATGATGAGAACATCATGTTATAAGCCACAGGAAACAGCAAAGTAGACCACTAACCCATCAATAACAAACCCTCTTTATTGTGCCTCTTCCTGTCCTCAGGATATGAAGAAGCTTACTTCAGTCAACACAGATATATATATATATATATGATAGACAGGAGGGAGACAAAGCACAAAATAAATCACCAACACTGGTAGAATTCCACTCACAGTTCTGTTCCGACCTATGCAAAACACATTTAATCAAAAAACAAAGAATTGCTATGCATAGTCAGTAAAGATATGTCCTTTACTTCTTTATAATCAAACACATCTGCAATCCAGATAATAGAATAGTTAGATTTTGGATTTATGAAGATGAAACTCTGTGTATGTAACATTATGGCCTTTTGTGTACCTCTCGGCTCTTTATGTGCTGAACTATGTCTCCTCCTCCTGGAAGAAAACAGAATTGATGAAAAATAATAAGAAAGAAACTCATCTCTGTGTTCCTTGAGGGACAATGTATTCACACGGGGAGCAAAGCAGACTCTGATTTTATACTACAAAAATACTTCATGATAAACTACACATACTTGCAATGTATAAAATAAATATTTCTTAATGGTAGCACTAAGAACACAACTATATGTGTCAGGCTAGGCTTTTGTGAAACTCTTTTATACCTAACCAACAGCACAGAGTGCTTCATACTACCACAAATGAAACAATCTATGTTCTTTCAGTCACTGAAAACATATTCACATCCTTAAGCCAGGAATATTTTGAAAGGTATACTGCTAACTTCCAGTTGATTAAAGTATGAGTCCAGGTCTACATGTCAGGGCTTTCTCCTGGACAGAAGATGGTGCTGTTGTTGTGAGCATAATATTCACCAGACGCCTGGCACAGAGGAGCTCACACAGCCGAGATAACAGCACCAAGGAATGTATAGCATGGCACAGTGTGAGAGATGTCAGTCATACAGAGTCAGGTTGCAGACTAGAAACAGAAATTTAGGAGCTCGGATTGCCAGAGGTGGTGAAGACATCAAGCATGAAATGAAACGAGGGCTAATGATTGCAGAAAGTACTACATATGATGCCAGAACACAGTTGCTGTACATAATGTAATGCACCGTAAAGTAAGCAAACATATTTTTGCATTTTTGTTGAATGCAATAACACAGACTAGAGCCTGACACAGTACGGAACACAACAATTCATTGTTTTGTGAGAATACGGCTCCTATTGTCATTCTATTATATTCTATAATTGCTACTCTTACATAATTCATTGGAGAAGATCATTTGTGAAAATCTGTCTCTTCAAAAATACAATACAAGTTTGAAAAAGAAAAACTGTTGCCATGTCTAGTGAAAGCTACTTTTTCTATTTTTGAAAATGTGTTACCAACTAAGCTCCCCAAAGGTAGTATGGTTACTCTGGGGAAATTAAACTAGTTACTGTCCATGGGGTTTCTACGAATATTTGCTCCCCTATTAACATATATCACATACTTTCTGCCAATGCCACAACTCAATGCTGCATATTTGCGGCAACCACTGCCTGCTTACCAGCAACCACACTTCCTTCTGGATTAGCATTTAGGAAATGCTACATGTGGATTCGGCAATATAAGTTCAGGTTCATCTTGCTCTGTAGAGGAGTGTATGTGAGCTCAGAGTCGCGTCTATGCCACACTGATTTGTTCTAGAGCAACACATGAGTGGAGCCATAACAAACAAAAAAATTGCATTTTTGCAAAAAAAAGGGTGCAACAATGGGAGCGTCCAGACCCAATTTGTTTTGACCTCACGCTGGCTAAACCAACTTTAGCGAGCTGAAACATTTCTGCTACCTGAGATGGGTACTGAATGTCTGGAGAAATAATCACATTTTATTGTTGAGCTCCACTAAAAAGTTTAACTGCAGACCTCCCTCTCATCTGAAATCTTTTTCCAGTGCAGTTTCAAATCTTCAGTTTGAGCCTGTTTGGACAATGTGGCAGAGGGCAGAAATGCAGCGTGTAAATGAATTCAGTGCAGAAATCCCCTCTGTCTTATATGTATGTATTTCAACAACAAACGTAAACTTCCACACAGAAACATCACCTGTCCATTTTGAAGGGTATAGAAGATTGGGACCAGATGTTGGAGCGGACTTTGAAAGCGTGAAAACTCATTAAGCATTTTTATAGCTGAACTTGGAATTAGCATGTGTGGGAGAGCAACGCTTCATGTGTTACCTGTGAGTAAGACATCAAAGAGCGCTGCAGCTGCTAATGACAGGCCTAAGCATGTCTGAGTTCCAAAATTAGCCGATACAGCTAATTATCCCCCAAAGAAACGGCAGACCGTCAAGCAAGAAATGCATGTAAAGCTCACGTTATCCCAGAAGAAAAACCCAAATAAGATCAATTGGTTGTCCTGCATTTGACATTTGTCCATCAGTGTGATTTTTTTTTACTGGTGATCCACAAGAAGATTGTCATGTGATCTTGTATAGGGTTTCAGTAAAGACAGAAGCACCCCTAAACATAATCCCCACCCCCCTTACAAACCCACTCCTACCTCCGAAAATCACAACCTATCCCTCACAGAGCTGTGTCAACCCACCTCTGGAATTTCAAAGGGGAAGGGACATTGAGACATAGAGTGTAGCTGCACCACTGAAAAGAGTGGGAAAAAGAGATTTTTTCTTTTTTCCCCTGAAGGAGAACTCAACTTTGTACTCTGGAAATACATGAAATCTGGCGTAATCTGTGTAGAGGACCAAAGACTAAGACCTGTTCCTGTCTAAGCCTTTTAATGAGCGTAAGCCCCCAGGAGGAATAGTCGGAACTCACAGAAACCAAAGTCAGCCCCGTGGGAAGCAGAGCTCTCCGGCTGCTCACAGCCACAGACATGCAACCGTTCACCTTGGTCGGGGCTCTTTTTTTCATAGTCCACATCTCCTCTGGTAGTGTGGAAGCCCACAGGTAAGTCAACGAACTAGAGCGTAAGGGCATTTGATGTTGTATGCTATGTTTTCTACCTTGAGACCTGCAGCAGATGTAAACTTTACTTGGATATTTACTCAGTCAAGAATGATAAAGACCTTCCAAGAATAATAAACCAAAATTGCCACCAACTGTACTGACTCATTTGGCCCACTTCCTGTTGCCAAGAAGGGAATTACTGCCATTTTAACTGGCAGTTCCTCTACATGCTTTTACTTGGCTTTAAATCTTTACAGGGAAAACTGTTGCATTGATGGTGTAGACACACTGCTGCCGCTGCCAGCAGAGGACTATGACAGCTATGACAGTGTGTCAGCTAAAAGTGGCACAGCAACTGTTAATAACTGAAGAGCACCTGTCGCTCTAAGGAGCCGCTCTCCTGTGGGCTATTCTGGTTGATTTCTATCAAGTCTCAGATTCCCCCAGTCCAACTGGAGCCGAGGCTGCTTATAGGATGCTATCCCTGTTACACCTAAACATCTGGGATATAAGAGTTTGGCATTGGACTTAAAGGTAGAAATGATGCTGAAAGCTGTAAAGTCAGATTTGGATGTGTTATGCTGACATGAAATATGTACTAAGTCAAAGTCAAATGGCATCTTAATTTAATTTACAGGTTAAAAATACACACATGCAATATAATCTATATGTAATGTAGGTTATTTTGAATGCAATGCTGACTTGCTGACCACAACTGAGAATAACTTAACTGTGAATCTCATCTGACTCCAGAAAATGGAGTCAGGTAAAGATCAAGGTACAGTGAAACAAGAGGACATATGGTTGTGCATAAGGTATCAATGTGCAACGCAGGAAGTGTCTGATTAGTGTGTTTTTCTCCATCTGTAGCCTACATCCTGTCAGCTGGCTGTGGATGTGTTGGGTGCTCATTTTTTCATGTTAATATGGTTGAATTTGTAATATGTCCTTCGTGTTTTTTATTGTTGAAATAAGATTTTGCTTAAAGGTCAAATTTACCATCTGATGTTCCATGCATTAACCAGGGTGGGTTATAAATGTAGCTGAGACAGTGAAATGTAAACCTTACCTTCTGTTTCTCTCTTGCTCTATAAAGGCACTACCGACAAGTCCTCACTGGAAACCAACCAGGTGTTTGTCGCTATGGCAGGAGGCTGGAGTGTTGCTATGGCTGGAAGAAAAACAGTAAAGGACAGTGTGAGGGTAAGAGCATTTATATATAAAAAATCCAATTTACTGCCACCATGGACAGTCTCCTAACAATTGTTATTCTTTTCGTGAAAGATATTCTCCTAACCAAAATAAATGTGGCGGCAATGACATTCTAGATTGAAAAATCTTGCCTGATAGAAATGTGTGGTTTGACAATAATCCATCATTCTCAAACCACTGATATTTCTGGTGGTATTCTCTTCGTGTTAAATGTTTTACCAGCTCAGTGTGACCACGGCTGCAAGCACGGAGAGTGTGTTGGCCCCAACAAATGCAAGTGTTTCCCAGGATACACTGGAAAGACGTGTAATCAAGGTGGGTAGTTGGGTTCTGGAAAACATGGGTCAAATTGGGTACAGTTGATAAGCTTTACTAACGAATTCTGGGTGTGTTCCACTTCAAGCAAATATGTTTCTCCTGTGTTCCAATAAAAGCATTTCAGTTAAAAAGTAAATGTTTTAGGTTTTAGACAAGAAGGTGTTGCGTGTGGAAAAATAAGGGTGACTCTTATTTCCAGATCTGAATGAGTGCGGCCTGAAACCTCGTCCCTGTGAGCATCGCTGCATGAACACCTATGGAAGCTACAAATGCTACTGCCTCAATGGTTACACCGTAATGCCTGATGGATCTTGTGCGAGTGAGTCCCATTGTGCTAATACTATCCGTGAATACCCTGAGTGCAAACACGTGAAAATCTAAGTTGGCAAGTTTGAATATTTATAAATGCGTGCCTTTTTGTGTCCATGCACGAAGATTCCAGGACATGCTCTGCTGCTCACTGTCAGTATGGCTGTGAGGAGGTTCAGGGGGAGATTCGCTGTCTCTGCCCATCTGCGGGGCTGCAGCTGGGGCAAGATGGGAGGGCTTGTGTAGGTGAGCTACCACACACACACACACACACACACACACAATAAAATAGTATATGAATGCTTTTATGCATATGGTGTCATGCAAGTAAAACCTATGTCAAATATGATAAATGATTAGAGAAAAGCAAAATGTAAGGAGAGTGAAAAATCTGATGGAACAATAAAAAAGTACACAGTTAAAAAAAAAAAGGCTTGACTTTGGCTTGTTGCCGTCTCATGGATTGTGAGTTTTTGCATAGGGGAACAATTCTGTACAGATTTTATTTTGTGGCTTCTGCATTCTTGGCTTGTAAATAAGATGAGTGCTATTAAGTTATATTTCTACCCACAAAACTGCCTGAGCTGTAAGAGAGAGCCAGTCTGGCATACAGATCACACAGGGGAAGTAATATAATTGCTCTGGAGCATTAAACTTGAAGATTGCCATCAATTCAACACACTAAAAAAAAAAAGAGATACAGCAGAAGTACACTTTCATTCTGAAGCCATAAAGTAAAATTACATAATGACATGACTGAATGAGAATATGTATATTAACTCATTTAATGATTGTCTCTACAGCAATAGGCTGACTACTACAATTTGGCACTGGATCACTCTCAAAAGCATTACTAATGGTCCTATTAGCTAGAGAATTCACAAAATTCCTTTATTGCCGCCACAACTAAATCTATAGCTCACTTACCACACTCAGTGGTTCACTGCTTCCAACCTGGCCAGGGGCCACTGCAAACACAAATTAGCAGTGATGCTAGGAAGCCAGTGAGGGATCGCGTTCTTGATCACCAGGATGTTGTAATGAACTCAGTACACCAACCACAGCAAAGTTCCCTGCTGGCAGATCAAAAAGAGCAGCTGAGAACTCCATGTGAATCAGAGGAAGTGCACAGCACACTCAATCCACAAAAAATTGTCAGCAATGTGTGTGAAGAGTCTCAGAGCAGTGGAAATAAGCCATTACAAGAAATACAAATTCAATATTGCCTAATGTGACATGTATATAAAATCAAACACTCTTTAATTTGTCCCGTCTTCTGTTTCCCTTCAGATATTGATGAATGTGTAACAGGGAATAACCTCTGCCCCTACGACAGACAATGTGTGAACACCTTTGGAAGCTACTTCTGCAAATGCCAGAATGGCTACGACTTGAAATATGTTGACGGCAAATACGACTGCGTAGGTAAGGTATACAAGTTTATAACAAGGAAAGATTCAAGATAGATTCAAGGTACAAATAGGCTTCTTCCAATTCCAGACCTTGATGAGTGTGCAGCCAGCACCCACAGGTGCAGCCACCATGCTGTCTGTGTGAACACTCAAGGATCCTTCAGGTGCAGGTGCCAGTCTGGCTTCAGAGGCAATGGCTTTGAATGCTCTGGTGAGATCCAAGAACTGCAACACAGGCTCATGAATTAATTAGTTTTAGGGATGACTTTCGATATGTAATAAAATGTGTCTTCCAAGGCCATTCATAATAGATTTTAACAACTCATGTCTCAGGCCTTTCCCAGGTGACAGTAGTCAATCAGATTGGTCAGAAGCAGTTTTACAGCCACATAATTCATTTACTCGGTGAACAGGCCAAGGCTAGTTTCCTGTTTTTAGACTTCATGCCTCTTTACAGATGTCAGCAAGAGGGAGCCACAGATTGAATACACACCTGTCTAAATATTGTATGGTAGCCAGCCATCTGAAGAAGAAGTGGAAAGGCTGGTAGTGTTGTACTCTTTAACCGAGGCCCAGATAATAACAGGTAAAGCCTCATGATGCCAAATTACAGAGGCCAGCGGTTTCAGCATGAATGAAAGATGCCTTTATTTTTTGTAGTCAAGCCGTTTTATCAGAGGTCCTGGGACGGAGACAAAGGCAGTGCAGATGATTTCCTCAATGGTGAGATTGTGTGAAATCCAAGACGGCTTCCACTGTTCACTCCCTGCCCTGCAACCCCATTCATTGCCTCCTACTTTTTAAGAACACCTCTCCAAACTCTCCCCCATGCTCATGGCTGAAAATGTTGCACGTCCCTTGCACACACACAGCTTGATATGAGACCTGAAATCCTCAGCATGACTCCTAAAATACAGAACTCATGTGACAAAATGCTTGTGCACTTAAAACACTCATTTAAGTTATGTGCAATGAATGTTGCTGTCATGCTTCATCTGCATGGAGTAGGACAAGAGCAGCAGCTGCAGAATACATGACAACAAACGCATCTGAAGCCCGGAAACAAACTGTCTTTCCCACTCATGATTGCAGTTCCACATGTCTAATCTGATTCCTCTTCCTGCCTGCAGCCATCCAGGACTCCCAAGTGAAGCCCGGGATTCTGGGAGGTACGCTGGACAACGAGGACATCAAAAATATAATCCCTGAACCAGTCGCAACGCCGCCTCCTAAATTCCATCAGCAGCCTTTTGACTATGATGGAGAGGTCTACGCTGGCCCCCAGACTGAGCAGAAACAGGTGGATGAATTTCCTGAGGAAGAAGAGGAGGTGGAGGAAGACAACCAGCTCAATCCAAGAGGAGATGTTTTCAGTAAGTGCCCTTTCGTTTGGCTCCTTTGCAGTAATTCTGGGTGGTCCACAGTGTATTAACCTTACACAGACTAAACAAACTCAGTTTCTACAGAGACTTAGCTCTCATGTCTACACAGCATCTGAATACAATTGTCGATTTTTCAGTAGGCAGCTGCAATAAGTATTAAATTGCAGGTCAGGCTTAAGACCTTGACCAGAGAAGAAAGGGGCCTGTTGCTTCATGTCCGCTGTCGCCCACAGGCTTCACTAAGACCTGTATAACTCTTCTTGATGTTACTAACAATGGAGGAACACATTTGTTGACTCTCTTTAGTGAACAACATGCTCAGACATATTGAATCTGATAAGTCAAAGATGTGCCAGTTATTTCCTCAAAGAACCACAAGCATTGTTACTGTCATGCTGTCATGTCCTCCAGTATTGTAGAAAATAGGGTCACTAACTCTAAGATCCTATCAACTCTAAGCTGACGTGTTTTTAAAACTTTTTCATGATATCAAACCATTGGCTAAAACTAAAATATAAAGCTCTGAATAAGAACCCAGCAATGTAGAATTAAGAAATGATTAGAATCAATCTAATTGGTTATGTGACATGGTGTCTTCTATCTAGATCATGTCATTCACACCTGATCTGTGTGTAGATGCTCCTTTTCTGACACTTTCATCAGATAAAAAGAGACGAGTGGGCAGTGTGGTCCTCAATGAGAAACCCCATACATGAGGTTACCTTTGACAACTAATCTTGATCTTCATGGAAACACCCTGGCCTGTGTAAGAACTCAGATAGCAAGAGGAGACAGGCCCCGAGACATCCATCACCTCCAGGGAGGAATTTCACTCTGTCGGCATGAGAGAGCCCAGGGATACAACTCATCCTGCTTCCCATCTACTGGGAGGAGGGTGGGGAAGGGAGGGAGGTTACTTAGCCTCCAAGCCTTTTATTATGTTTTCCCCAAAACAGCTGTTGTGCAAACAGACTTGACTCCTAGTTGGAAAGTCTGTCATCAGCACTCTAGACCTCTTAACACTAGCCCACTCTAGCTGAGCAGGTTCAATAACCCCAGCTGTCGCTCCTCTGACTCTCTAAGGCCGCTTGCCATGGGGGTGGTTAGCTGCAAGAGCTTTAAAATACTTGGGGGGGGCTGTTTCCTAAAGTTGCAGATTCATCTCAAGACATGAGTGACAGCAGGGCAGGTCTACACCTGTTGGTTAAAAGGCACTTTCTCGCTTTTGTTTCACTGTGGAATTTCTCTTTGCTGCATAATTTTGCAACGTTTTCTTTTTTTTAAGATCACATATTTTAAGAGGAATTCATAGACAAAACGTTCTTTGCAAAAGTGTAAGGGGCATATTTTATGAGATTTTGTTAGAGTGTAATTGTGATACAGTTGTGTCTGCATGCTTTTACTTTCTGATTATCACATTTAGCTGAACTATTATACACTCCATTGCCAATTCATTCGGTGCACCTTGTTAAAAAGAATGCAGCCCTGCAATAAATCCCAGGTAGTCTTTTTCAAACAGAACTTTATAACCTTCATGAAAGTTGGTTTTATTGCAGGACTGTTTGAATGCAATAGCTTAAGATAGGTGTAAGTGTACCTAATAAACTGGAAAGTGAGTGTGTATCCAACTGAAAATTCATAAATTTACACCGATGTTTCTCTTTTATCTCTTAACACAGTATCAGAGGACTTTGAATCATTGTTTGGCCCCGCCACAGAAGTCAAAGTAATCCAAATAACACCCGTTCAGGAAGGTAATCAAATATCTGTTTATGTTCCATTGTTATTTAATGACTGTTTATAAGACTTTTTCCTAATGTGCTCCTTTGGTTTTACCCTCTAGAGTTTATCCTGGATTGCAACTTTGATCAGGGAGCATGTGAGTGGGTCCAAGACAAGGCTGATGACATGGACTGGAGCGTAGCCTACCATAACGGTAACAAAATTATAATATGTGTATTACAGGTTATTTAAGATAATTTTACAATGTAGATACATTCACTTATGAGACAAACTCTCTCAGGTGCTGAGTACTACATGGCCATGAGTGGGCTCCTAGGGGAGCTGGAGGATATAGCCAAGCTGAAGTTGCTTCTCAGTGACCGGACCCAGCAGGGCAGCTTCTGCCTCACCTTTGACTACCGTGTGGTGGGTCACAATGTGGGAACTCTCAGGGTGCTGCTGGATAATAATGCTTACCCCGTATGGGAGCAGAGCCAAAGCAGAGACCAGGGCTGGCAGACAGAGCTCCTCACTGTGGCCTGGAAAGAGGAAGCGCCAGAATCTGTGAGTAATGTTATAGTTTCATAACACTTCAATAGTTTCATAACACGATCAATAGATGATCGTTGAACTTAAGTGCTGAAACAGCTAACAAGAATAAAACCAGCCAAAGTACTTTTGTGACTATAGCTATGTTGGGTTTTTCTCTAAAACGTTAAATTAATGTGGTTCACAGTGGCCTATGTTTGAAAGACAAGCCCAATATTATTGAATCACTTCTCGAATCTACAAACTCAAAATGCCATGGTACCTTTGAATGTCTTTCAGATTGTCTTTGAAGCTCAGCATGGGAAAGATGTTGGAGGAGAGATTGGACTGGACAATGTCGTGCTGACTTCAGGGCCCTGTCAAGAGGATGTCAGTCCATTCGTTTAAGAATCTCCACCCCGGATTTACAAAATATGACACATGTCAAAGATTCCTGTTTCCTGTCTGTATGTTGGTCTGGAGTTTCACACTGTCTTACAAGACATCCACATAAAGATACAGATATGATCTCGAGGGAAGATCTGTACTTTCAGTGCATGCATGTTTACTTAATCACCATGCTGCTACATTGGTACATTCGGCTTCATTCTCTATCGTGATTTTCAAAATGGTCTCTGAAGATACAGATCACCCAGATCTCAGGAATAGGTGGAAATGCTTACTTTGTCTTTGAGTTAGATGTAACAGTATTGTGCTTAGTCCTTTGTTGTGTATGTAATTGCTAAAGTTAAGTGAAAATAATCTATGACATGTAATGTGAATTCTTAGGTGAATTAAATCTGAAATTCAATCTTAGATTAATAACTTTTTTGAAGGCTGGTTAGTTCTAATGATAAAAGTATCAGTACGTAACTGCTGTACATTTTGCTTTCATATTATACTGTACTATTACAATAAATCTGTTTTTTTTTCTAACTCTGTCTTCAATCCTCTTCCTTGATTGTGTCAGTTGTAAGTTTATGCAAACAGAAATCTATCATCGCCTAGACTTTTCTGGCATTGGAAGTGAATGTATCATAAACTGGTGCTACAGTGTGGGGAAAATCCAAGGTAATATGATAACGACTTGGGTTAATGTCAGGAAAATTAGTCTACTGACTGAAGAAATACCACCATAAATTAACTGTAATTTATGGATGCCAGGACTGGAATTTAATCACAAAAAACCTTTTTGTGGTAGTAAACATTTTCCCCCAACCTCACTGAGAAATGTATGATTTCATACTGGCATAGATATATATAAAAGGGGGAAAAACAATTGTTTGCTCTAACAACCAAAGACACATCTGGTGGGAGGATAACTGCATTGGATTACGTCGTCTGTTCTTGGGGTTTAGAACGTCAATAATATTGCTGTTTGATAACTTGTGTATCCTTCAAGAAGTAATGTTAGTGTAGGTACAATCCTGAGGTATTTGTGCTTTACTTGGTTAAAATTAGGACTACTACTAAATGTTAGAGGAGCATGCTGTAATCTGTGCTCCATAACATTTGCATCATTAGAATAAAGGTCAGTGAGCCTATAGTTTCATTCAGAAAAATCCCAGATGTCAACTATCAAAAACAATTCTAAGTGGACCATTCTGCATTAAAGCACACTTAAGAGCGATAATTGACCTACCTTTCATCAGTTTCATATTTTGTTGTTAAGATTCTCTGACATGATGTTGGGGTATGTTTACATTGTCGTGTTGCTACGTAAAACCCCGTTCGTACCTTCTGAAGACATCTCAGTAAAAACATGGTTATAGTGCAACAGTTAAATTAACTTTATGTTACCTAGGGTCTACTACATCTAGTGTTTTTTCGATGGGCTCTAGTGGGTTTTAGTGCAGCTGAGATGCTGGCAGATAACAGCTAAATTAACAAAGAAAAATCAGAAATGGGGACTTTAAAGTAACGTTGGTTAAATGCATTTAAAGTCGATGGTTAAATGTCGCTCTCTGCTGGTTGAGCATGAAAAATACAAAGAAGTAAAAGATGTGTCACCGACGGAGACTATGGGAAGACAAATAGACACACTGTTTGAAATGAATTAATCATTAACGTGCAACTCTGTGAATAATATTATATGTCTACGTTGTAAACACAGTCTGTGGTCATAAGGGTTTGTCACGTTTCCTCAGCTATCGTTGGTTGTTTCTGTCTGACAAGATCACATGACCCGAGGCGCCCATGTATCGTTAGCTTGTTAGCAGCTAGCTGCGTTAGCATCGAGCCTTCGGGGTTCACCAGGAAACGGTGCGACCTGACGTTATCTCGAGCCACACCAAGGCGAGGAGCTGTCAAACACAGGCTTTAATATTAATTCAGTGGTTTCGTGTTCTGTTTCTCGTTGACTCAGTAGCTGCTTGGCCCAAACTGTAAGGTACGTTACTAGCAATCTCGCCCACAGCTAAGCTAGCGAATGTAATTAGTGCAGTATATTTGAAGAGCCTAACTCCAGCTGTGTTCACTTGTTTTCTTTTTTTCACGTTAGCTTAGCTTAGCTAACGCGTAGCCAGCTGATATACCCGCAATGTAGACTTAACTCTACTTGTGTGCTATAGCATGTTTCATCTATTAGTTTATGAGTGTGTTTGCGTTATCTTGACAAGCTAAATCTTTATATCAGTGCTCACAAACAGTGAACGTTTGGGAGCAGCTTATGCTTCATTGGGCCATCTGTTAATCATTAAACTGGTGTTTTACAGCTGGTTGAACGTTAACGTTACCTAACGTTGTATGGCCGCTCATATCAACATTAAACATACGAGCATGTGACCAAGGACCGGGGTCTACAGCACATGATCTGGACAAGTGGAGGAGGCCAAAATCTATCAGGGGTGAGATAAAAAAAAAGGCTCATATTTCTACCAAAAGTAAAGTGCTTATTGCTCGCAATTTATTTCAAAATCATATTACAGTGTCATGCAGGCAATAAAAATGTCTCTTACACATTGCATCTCTACATTAGGTAAATTATTCTAAAGTGGTCGATCGGGATTGAACAGCCATGACGACAAAGACATCCCTGCTCAAAGTCATTCTGCTGGGTGATGGCGGTGTCGGAAAAAGCTCCATCATGAATCGTTACGTTACCAACAAGTTTGATGCGCACCTCTTCCACACCATTGGCGTGGAGTTCCTCAACAAGGAACTGGAGGTAGATGGCCACCAGGTGACCCTACAGATCTGGGACACTGCTGGCCAGGAGCGCTTCCGCAGCTTGAGGACTCCTTTCTATCGTGGCTCCGACTGCTGCCTGCTCACCTTCAGTGTCGATGACAACCAGAGTTTTCTCAATTTAGGCAACTGGAAGAAGGAGTTCATCTACTACGCAGATGTCAAGGAGCCAGAGACGTTTCCATTCGTGGTCTTGGGCAACAAAGTGGATGTGACAGAAAGGCAGGTGTCATCCGAGGAGGCTAAGCAATGGTGCCAGGAGAACGGGAATTACCCCTATTATGAGACCAGTGCCAAGGATGCCACCAATGTAGCGGTGGCCTTTGAGGAGGCAGTGCGCAGAGTGTTGGCATTGGATGAAAGAACGGACCACCTCATCCCCACAGACACAGTCAAGCTCCACAGAAAGCCTCGCTCTGCTGGCACTTGCTGTTCATAACATCCAGGAGCTAATCACTAACAAATATTTGCTGTTATGTGACGAGGCTGTAGGTTTACAATGCTGTAGTAACAACTTATTTAAACAAATTATACCACTGGCTTTATGATTTGTTGTACTGTTGAAGTTTGATCGTGCTAACAGTTGGACTTCTGTTTGAAGAGAGGAGAGGAAACACTAAATGCATCTCTAATTACAAATAAACATGAAATCACTGAAGCATTCACGTAACTCTGCCACAGTTCAAAGGCCGGGCTTTGGAGAAGTAGCAGAAAAATGAACTATATTTTGTGTTGTCCCAAGACTATCTGTGGGGAACTAGACAAATATCATATTGGAACAGAGGAAATATCTGTGAAAAGTTTTACTTCCCTCTCAAAGGGTTAAATGTTCCTTTCTGTCATGAAGGCAAATGATGTGACTACCTTGGGAGTGAGATCAAAGGGTTTCTGAATGTCACTCCTAAATCAAATAATACATGACCGCATAATTAAATAAGTTATGCAGCTTAATAGACTTATTTCTGAGAATTATGAAGTAGCTAAGTCTCTACTATGTGTAACTAACACATTGAGGCTAATGCACACTCAGTTTTTGTGCACATTCTGCTTAGTGAATAGATTATCGCCGTGGGACAAGATCCCCAACATAAGATCAATATTGAAGCAAAGTTAACATGCATGGCCTGTGGTGTAATTAAGTTTCTGGAACCTTTTGTATTTTGTAAACAGTTTTTACCTTAAAAAAATCAATATTGCCTTGAGGAAAGCGTAATGAAGGAGTGGTCATGATTGAGTAAACTGCTTTCTTTCTTTCTCATTGTTGGGTTTATTGTTTTAAATCATTTTTATCTTTTATGCACTAACATTTTTCCATTTTTAACAGTTTGAAGTTTTTCCCGCAGCTTAATATTTAAAATGGTGAACCGTTCATGTTTGGACTGTTTGTCATTCACATTTCATTTACATTCAAAGTTGTACTACTGGTATGCCAAATGATAAATAAACCCCCAGAGAATCGTCTCTTAAAGCATGTTTTGTAGCCCGCAAACTCTGACAAGTGACATGTTTGTTAACCCAAAGTTTGGACTGAACAGGATGTTACCATTCTGCTGTGCTTAACCACTGCAATGATATAATACAAAACACCTAACTGTCAAGGTTCAAGATTGTGTCTACTAATCGAAATGTTGTCATTGTTGGTCAAGCTCTCTGGGGAGAAGTTGAAGGTTTAATGCCTTAAAGTCTAATATGTATAATCAACATAAAGTATCCGTAAGAAAGAAAGACAAACATTACAGTAAGAGCTACGTCAGACAAGAAAATGTTTTATAGGAAACTGTTGAATACATTTAGATTTTTGCAACAGGAAAAGAAAGACATAAAATATGTGTTAGGTATATACACAACAAATAGACAAGCGCATGCATTAAATCCTTGTGCATGTGAAGTGATTAACCCAGGAGATGTTTCTTTCCAAGAAACTGTACTTTCCTCTCGAAAGCTGTTGAGCGGACTGGTGCATTGATTTCATAGAATGGATTCATCGCAAACTGGAAGACAACATAAATGAATAAATCGAACAATAAAAGTATAAAAAACAAAGGATACCTCATTTAAAATGCTTGTAATCATATGGAAGACAACTTACCTTAATGTATAAATCATAAACGTCATTAAAAAAGTTTTTGATTCCATCTTCTTGTCGCACATCATGCAGCATGATGAATCTTATATGTGAGGCAAATAATTAAAGAAGATACAGCCATGCCAATGAATTTCTGGAATATGACGATACATTATAACAATATGACTGACTATATAATCACATTTTAATGCAAACTAACATGTTAAATAATGGCAGTTGGGCTTCAGCTAACAATTATTTTCATTATCAATATGTTGATTATTTTTTGTATTAATTGTGTGATCTATAAAATGGCAGAAAAAAAATTACAAATGTTTATTACACATGAGATTAGCCATGTAGGGCTTTTGTCCGTCTATTCAGTCAGTAAACTACAACATAGCAATATGTTCATTTTGATTTGATTCCCACCATTTATAAAGATTGATGTATAGTCTGTTCTGTGGGGATAAAAAGGGAAGAGTCACATGGAACAGAAAGGATATGTCCTGCAGTGACGAAGGCAGAAACAAACCACTCGTTGAACTTGTCCACAGTTTTCAAGTACATATTGTTGGACAGCCACATGTTTTCATCCACCAAATCCAGGGCGGCGTGTGCAATGAACTGGTTTAAGTGACGATGGTCATCCTGTGGTCGATAACACAAATCTTATTAAACTACATAATACATTAACAGACTCTGATTGAATTTAAATAACTGTAAATGCCTTGTACCACCAACATTAAACACAGTGGTGTGGTCATATGCTTCATAGATACAGCAAGCTGTAGTATATGGCTAGGCTGATACATAACATTTGTTTACCACTGTTATTGCACTATTGGGTACTGGAATGAATACTTGTGCTATTAATAAAGTGTTACCTTTGATTCAGACTTCCCAGCTGGCAAGAACTCCATTTCAAACACAGGATTGTCCTGATGACCAACCATGACAAAATAAAAACTTCCAGACATCGTTTCCCCTTCGTCTTTGCCAAGTCAAACTGTCCTGAACACAATTCAAACCAAACAAAAATAGGTTCAACTATTTAATCTTTCCAAATATCAGCGTCAATATACCTCAGTTGGTTATGATCCTTTTAGCTAGAAAAGCTTACGTAAGCCGCAGTGCTCCACAGGCGCGTGACAACGTTTAAATCGTTAAGGGATTCTTGTGAGACTAAAATAAACAAATCACTTCTTGAAAGAGTATAAGAACATAACGTACGCACAATATCGAAAGCTTATTACTTTCATACGATCGACTTCTGTTTACCTGTTAATTCTGCTTCCCGGAGAGAAGCGATCACAGACGCGTAAAGATGACGACACGGTCAAGCAGCGCAATATATTTATCAGTTATCTGATGTGAAACGGTTTGGCGAAAGCAATTTTTAAGCTTAGCTCCATACACATAACGTTTATTATTGCATTAAATATATAATAAATTATTGAATAATAAAAAATAAGCAAATTGCAGATTTTCTCGTTACGTCATAACTATGGGCCTGGAGCTGACATTTCCGTTGACGGATTTAAATGCTAGGGGCACCGCTTCTCTGAAGGGACGCTGAAACGGTTCCTGATCGTTAGGCAGGTAACCACAGAAAGTATTATCTTTACAAGAATGCCAGGTGTACCAGGTGTTAAGAATACAGAGTAATTACAGTCAAACACTAGGTAAGAATACTTAGAAAGCTGGTGTTATATAGCTCGCCATGGCAGCTTTACTCTGCTATTGTCCGTTATAACGTTAGCGTTACTTGTGTTTGTCTTCTGTCGGGACCGACAAAACAACACTCGACAGCCATGTCTTCGGCCAAGGAAGACACGTTATCCCCAGATGAGCTGAGGAAAAGACTCTATCAAACTTTCAAAAGCAAAGGAGTGCTTGATACACTCAAAGTAAGTCGTGCTAATAAAGTCGCGGTAGACTCTCGTAGTCTAAAGAGTTTAGTCGTCATTCCTCTTGCTCTCTGTTACTCTTCTGACCTCATTCAGACGCAGCTGCGGAATCAGCTCATCCAGGAGTTGAAACACCCTCCTCTGACTGGAGGAGAACCAGTTCCCAGACCAGTACACGTGAAATCGGAACCCCTTTTGGTCTCGGCCTGTAACAGCATAGTGGCCGATCATCTCCGCAGCTCAGGGTACGAGTACACCCTCTCTGTGTTCTACCCTGAGAGTGGCCTATGCAAAGACAAGGTAAGCACGAGCGTGTTGTCTAATTGACTGCAATATAAAGTGTGAAGAACACCGTGGAAGATGAAGATGTTGGTCTCTGATCCACTTTTGGCAGGTTGTCATGACAGGAGACCTTCTTCAGCTTCTTAGAATTAATCCTGAATCAGCGCTTCACCGATCCCTGGTAATGAATAATATGATTAGCATGTAGAATAAAATTAGAAATAATAATTGCATATTGTTAGTAATAATAGTGTTATTATTTCTTATTGTTTACAGTCTTCAAACAAAGGCAACAGTGATAAAGGTATGTGCATCTTACTGTTCCTTTTTTGAATAAAACGGCTCCCTTAGACCGGTCCTTGATGTGTTTTGTCTTTGTCTCGCAGGGTTCCTGATCGGCCTCCTGAAACAGCTAACACATCATTATACTCACAGCCGGTGCCATGATGCTGACACTCAGACAACCAGCACAGCAAGTTATGGAGAGTCTCTCGGTAGGATGAGATAAAGTCTCGCATTGTGCTCCACAAACGTTCCTTTCAACGCACATTTTTTATGTTTATTTCTATTATTTTTTTTTGTCTTCCATACACAGTCGAGAAGATGAAAATAATCGACGAGGAATATGAAAGCTCCAAATACAGCGGGGACAAATGGTTTTCATTCCAATCAAAACTGGATGCATATAGGAAAGAAACTGAAGCGCAGATGCAAGCAGAAATGAACACAAAGGTTTGTGTATTTTTCTTTAATGTTAATGAATCAAAACACTGAGAAAGTATGAAGCACAGCTGCTGATGTAGAACACTTGTACTACAGTTCAATCTTCACTTTGATGAAACTCAAACTTACTTCAATATATTTTTAATACGACACACAATCTGATTACTTAAAGTAACATTCGCCTTATACACAAAGAACTCTTAGGTTAATTACCATGGAAGCATAACTTTTCTACTACAGCTGCATACTCGTATCTGCACCAACAACCCCGTTGTAAAAGGTTGAAGTTCTTTACGTTTTATGAGTGGCTAATATGTGATCATGTTGCCTCAACATTGTGTCTTGTTTCCTAAGATGCAACATTTTAAAGATGTGGAAATTGCAACGGTGAGGATGGAAGAAAAAGCAACATTTCATAAAGAATTTGATAAGCTGAAGCACGAGCTGGAGAGGACCTACGAGATGAAGGCAAAGGCGTTGATGGAGCGAGAGAAAAACGCCATTGATCGATTACAAAAACAACAAGAGGTAGATTACTGCTAATTAGATGTTGTGTTTTGTTATTTTCTCTCAAGAAAGGTGAATTTAGTGCAGGCTCTCGACATCACGGTAGTCATTGGCATTATTTCCAATTGCTCAAATCCAAGACGGTGCAGTTGATGCTGTTGTTTGTATTTGTCTCTCCTTTAGATTGAAGAAAGAAATATGTACATGCAGAGACAATCGGTCCTGAAAGAAATTGAAACGGTGCGAAACAGAGAGAATGAGCTGAGGATGAGAATGGAGGCTTTTGAAAAGTAAGGCCTTTGTTTACCATTCATGTAAGTAAGGTGATGCTCTCTCCTTGTGACTACTAGTACATAGAGAATGTTGATGTGTGTGTGTGTGTGTGTGTGATGGTAGGACATGTCAAATTCATGAGGAGAAGGTCAGGACCTCCGAGGAGCTGCTGAGGAGGAGAGAACTGGCAGTGAAGACTATGGAGGACACATACGACCAAAGCCTGAAGAATGAACTTTCCAGGTATTTTTATGTCGTATTGGGGTTGTTTTATTTTTGGGCTCACATTGTCACCACCAATTAGACATATTTAGTTGGTTACACATATGCCATCTCATTTGATATATTCTCTCATTTCTCCTAGTTATGTGTCAGGTTTGTATCCTTGTTAGAGGTATTGTTATTTTGTGACCAGAGGATGTCACTGTTTAGTAGGTTTAAAGGAACAACAGTATCGTGAATGTAAAATCTGCAGTCAGCGATTTATTCAATTCTACAGCAGAAATATTTTAGCTCTAATTGTTTGAATGCTGTTAATGAGTCTCAGAGTGCGTTGTTGTCTTTTTGAATGGATGTCAGTAAATGGGTGGAAATCGGGCACATTCTATATTTAGGTTTGGTTTATTAATCTGTACTCTGTAATAGGAAAGGGCCGCACGGATTTCCAAGATTGTTTGTGTTGATTTTATCTACAAAGAACTTTATCATTATTTAAATTTCTTCATAAAATTAGATATCAGCTTGAGTTGAAGGATGAATTCATCAAGAGAACAGAAAAACTAACGGAGAATGAGAACAGGAACAAAGGTGAGAATTATGATCATTGCAAGGTTGCTGACTGGTTTTCTACTGCCCATGTTTCAGTTTGATTTTGTGTTTACAATTAATGTTTTATTACTCCTCAGTGGAAACTGTCCGTATCCAAAAGGAGTCGGCTGTAATTAATGGCAAGTTAGAGGAGCACAGCAGAGCCTGTTCAGAGCTGAGACGGCTACAGGTAACGCAACACAACCCCAGTCATCCAGCAGTGTTAACTGCACCTTCTTCAATAGACACAACACTAAAAAACTTTCAATCATACCGTGTGATGTGATAATAATGTAATGCGGTAACTATATGGTACACAATGTAATAGATGAGTTAGATCTCCAGCTTTTCATGTGTCCTCTGTTGTTTTCCAGTTTGAGCTAGACACGGCGCAGCAGCAGATTTCTCTGCTGACTCAGCAGAAGGAGCTGTTAAGAGAAAGACTGGAGACCACGAGCGACTACCCCAGCGTGAAGAGGGAGAAAGCCGAGCTGCAGGGGCAGCAGCGACTGCTAAAGAAACAGCTGGAGGAGGCCCAAGAGGAGAACCGGCTTCTCCATGCAGGTGACAACTAGCTTGGGTTGGATCACGGTTTTCTTTTCGCAACTGATTCTCGTAAATTGAATAACCGAGAGTTATTGATTTCAAACCTAGAAAATCGGCGCCTCAGAATATGTGTCCTTCCAGTTTCTATGTCCGTTCACAGTGCTCGAGTGTGGGCTCGTTATGAGCTGTGGGAGATGCAGTGTACTGTGAAGCACTCATGTTAGTCCGCCACACGGCTTCTGGCTCAGCTCAGTCTTCTTTTTGAATTTGTCTTGCTTGCCAATGTGGTGCCTCTGTGCTGTGTTTGTAGCTCTGCAGACAACTGTGTAAAACAGAAGCAGTGAGGGAATAGGGATGTGAAGGGGAGCAGAGACAGAGGGCTCCCTTCACTCGTGGCCGAGAACCAAACATTCACCTCTCTCTGAGGGATGCTGTATTCTTCCCGTTTGAGGATAAGGGGCAGGGGAGCAGCGGGCCTCTTTACTCATCACGAACAAAAGGCAGAAACATGGTACAAAGCCCCATGTGCTGTACTCTCATGCTGGTCTGATCCATACAGCCCAAACTTTGATCTGGAGCACTTAAAACATGACACCCTAAATCAGAACAACTCCTGTGTATCCCCACGGGCTTTTGTTTCCCTCTCAGATAGCTCTCCCACGGAAATAGACACTGGACTGGCAAAAAAAAAAAAAGTATGCTTTTTTTTTTTTTTTAAATGATGTTTTAACTCCAATAACCCCTCTCTCAGATTTGAGCAAGCCGTCCAAGGAGCAGTTGTCCTTGCAGATGGAGCTACGGAGGCTGCAGAGCGCTCGCAGTCTGGATGAGGAAGAGTTTGACAACCAGAAACAGGCGCTTCAGGCACAGCTCCAGAGTGAGGTCAGTCACATAACAGCCTCTCGCTGAGTGTGGGAGACTATGTGGTCAGCTTTTATTTTTATTTTTTTTCACGTGGTTTTGTCTCAGCTTGGGGAGTTTCTTGTGTAATCTGGGTTTCCGTTGACCCACAGACCTTAATACTGTGTGCAAAAACTAACTTCTCACGTGATGTGCTGTTGCCTGCAGGTGGAGCGGTGTGTTCAGTTCAAGGCTCAGTTGATGGAGTGTGAGGAGAGGTCACAGTGGATGACTAACCACATTGAGGAAATTAAGATGCAGCTTCGCCAAACTCAACAAGGTACCCAATGACTGGGCTTGTGTACCAGGCATTGTGTCTGCCGTGTCCATATGCAGTCAAAAATGTTACACTACGTAACTGAAGTTAACTTTATTCCTGCGTTTCACAAACCGGCTTCCTTTCTTGGTAATACTTACAAATATAAACCTCAAACATTCTCTCTTTTCCATTACTATAATACATTTTCTTTCTTTAGCAAAAACAACAAAGGAAGCCGTTTTATAGTAGTAGCAGCAATATCCTAGTTGTAAATGCATGTAAAGAGTTATTTTTTCTCAGATTTGTACTCTTTAATGGTGGTTGGTCTTCTGTATTAGTGTTCAACTCTCCTCTTGTTTGCTTTCTCTTTTCTTTCCTTTTCTTTTGTGTAACCCATGCGATGACGGCAGCTCTTGAAAATGAAGTGCTGCGTAACCCCAAGCCGTCTCTTGTCGATCGCTCGGTACTGGAGCTCAGCGCTGACAAGCTCGTTCCCCCTGACATCTATATGGACAGAGCTCTGCTGAGGGCCACAGTAGGTTATGATGATGTTTGTGAAGCAGGGGGGCCCTTGCGAGGACACACGTCGCCTTGGAGGGACTCTCCAGACTCCGACATGGAGATGGTGGCAGAGGCAAAGGCTCGGATCCGGGAGCTGCAGAAGGAGGCTGAGACCTTGGAGGAAGCCTACAGGAGCTACCATCAGAGGGCAGTGCGCTCCACCGTCTCACACATGCTTCCCCCAGGACCTGTTTCCCCACAACGAGCACATCCTTCACACCGTCCTGACTCTCCTTTAAGAAAACAAGCCGCTCACCATTCACATACACGCTCACCAAACAAATCCAAGGCCTCGCAGAGACCGCTGTCTCCACGTAGCACCAGAGCCCTCTCCTCGGCACACTATGACACAAGAACCGCACCACCCGCGCAACCAAGAGTGACCTTCTTGGAAGACCATAGCCAACCCCAGTCCACAGTTTTCTCTGACCACAGTCTTCATTCATTGACTGAAAATCTGTTTCTAAGAGACGGACACCCTCGGGATGCAAACAGCCCTCCTTCCAGACGCCTGTCCTCCGCACCGCACTCGTCCTCCAGGAAAAAGCTTCAAAGAGAGATTGCAGAAGGTACCTTCAAAAAAAATGCTTCATCCCGTGAAAATACTTCAAAGGGGATTAGACGCACCGACCTCTTTTAACTCTCAAGTAATAAAGAATGAAACAGTTTTATATCGTCAGCGCCCATACACTGCACATTTACTGTACTATATTTTATGAATGTGCCAGAAGGTTAAAACAGTTTAAACATTCAAAACAGTCAGTCTACACATTTCTCATCTGTATCCCATGAGGATATATTGCCTGACATAAAGTCCTTAAATTTGGCAGAAGCAGTTGGGTCTCCGGTGGCGTTTCCAGAGTTGTCGTTTGACAGACGGCTCCCTCGTGCCCCCCACAACGAGGCGGCGACCACGGGTGACTTTTCCTCTGAGCTCAGTCCACCTCGCAGTCCTCAGCTCCAGAGCACAGCACGAGACCAGTCCAGGTACCATCTGGCATCACTTTGGCAAGGACATTACAGCATTTTTATACACTTTTACGTAGTGATAGGGAATACTAATACTCTAATTTTTGCCCCTGTTTCTGTCAGTCCACCAAAGTTGCACCCCGTGTTCTCCAGCTCCGAGTCGTCCCCACAGCCGGAAAAAATAAGCCTAGAAGATCTCACAGGGATTTTGTCAGGTACTCTAAACTAGTATTTATTTATGCATTTGAATTATTGTTTTAACTACACTACTGCATAACTTAATTTACTATCTGGAAAACATGGAGCAGAGACTTTCTGTTGTGCCAAAATATTCCACTGTTTCCTGTGTGGAACAGCCATACATTATTATTTATTTATTTTTCTTGAATTTCATTATCGATAATTTAAACAACATCCCAGTAACAAAATGGGAGTATATCCGGTGTGGAGGTTTAGGGTTTGGGAATGGCTGCTTTTTAATGAGTGTGTGACTGGCCTCCAGAGTGCCTTTCAGTGGCCTCGCACAATGGTGAAGACGAAGGGCATCTGATTATGTATTCTGTGTCGGTCCTCTGGCCCTTTTGCATTATGGTGGAGCATAAAAGATCTCTTTGTGCATGTCTCCCTCCAGAGACCGGCCACATTCCAGAGCTTCTCCTGGACACTGCCATCCCTCTCTGTGAGGAGGCCCCTGACAGCCCCGCTGTCCCCCGCCCACAGGACCTCCCAGAAGACCCAATGGACTTGCAGGGCCATGCGGGTGAGTTGTTAGCCCCCCCCCCCCCCTCCCCATTCTTGGTTGACCCCAAATGAAAAGAATGGCCACCGTCTACTGTACACCATCCGTCTGACTGTACGAATCTCTCATATATTGCGGCCATTGTGGGGTCCATTGCCCCTGTAAGTGATGACGGACAGTTGATTTGTCTCATGTCAATCCATATGTGTTATAGAAGTCCCACAAGCCTCAGGTGAATGTGCTAGGGAAGAAGATGAGGAGGATGAGGAGCAGAGGTGGGAAAGGGAGCGAAAGGAAAGACTAGAAAAAAGGCAAAGGGAGCAAGAGGAAGCCAGAGAGCGGGAGCTGCAAGAACTTGAAAGACTGGAGAAAGAGATGGTAATGATTATCCTTCACCAAGTTCTTTTAAAACGCCTCTTTACCAAGAAAGGGCGGCCTGGTAAACTGAATGTTGACAGTATTTATGTCTAACCAGCTTTTGCAAGAGATGGAGCAACCAGGACTGGGAAAAGAAGAGGAAGAAGAAACTGAACTTAAGAAAAGAGACGAAGAGCAGACGCAAGAGGCAGATAATGACGAGGAGGAGTCTAAAGGTGGAAATCCATTAGAGAAATACATGAAGCTGGTCCTGGAAGCCAGAGAGAAGCAGCATGTACAGGTGAGTTTCACAAACTCCTGTAAAACTTTGCTTTTGTGACTTGACTTGTAACAGCTGCACTGTGTGTTTATACCGTGTGTGTGTGTGTGTGTGTGTGTGTGTGTGTGTGTGTGTGTGTGTGTGTGTG